GGAATGCAGCCACTGTAGAGAGAGAGAGAGAGAGAGAGAGAGAGAGAGAGAGAGAGAAAGAGAGAGAGAGAGAGAGAGCTGCTTGATGATGGTGGAAGGCAGCCACTGTCACCATGCTTGAGTAGCCTGTAGTATGTAACTTCGAGTTTGCAAATAATGTTCAAGTGTGCTCATATCATGTGAATCCTGCCTGCTCGCATGGAGCTTGTGTCATGCTGCATGTGTGTGGAAGTGGAGTAAAGCGGGTTTGAGATCCAGAATCATTGCAATTCCGTCTTTCCTCCAGATTATGACACTGTATCCAAGAATCTCTTGATGCTCTGACTCTTCCTCCTCCTATGACTCCCCTACGAAGGGGGATTTGATTACCCAGACAATCTTTTGCCCTCACGAGTGCATTTAATTTACGACCCATTTTGTGGCTGTCGCTGTGAGTGTTTAAGGCTTCCCTCACAAGTCTGCTACCTATTGGTTGTGGAAGAATGCTGATTTCTCGCTTTTGTTTGTTTGCCTCTCAGTCGGTCCATCGGTCGGTCGGTCCGTCTCTGTCTGTCTGTGTCTGTTTGTTTTTTATTTGTTTTAAACGGCCCCCAAGCCGCTACTTGAGGTGACATGAGCGTCCTCTGCTAGCAGGCTTGTCTCCGGCTGCTCCTGTCTTATTGGTGGGGAGCCACACCAGCTGGAAACTGGGTCCAGCGTCCCATATACAGTGATCCAGGATGTTGTTCTGTTCGGCTGTGTTTTAGCTTACGGATGTATACTAGTTTAATAACTTTCTATTTATGTATTTTCTATAGCAGTTGAGTTAAATACATATGGCCTATCCAGCGGCCTAACTCAGATGGTAAGGCTTGCAAGTGGCATTTAGGAGGTCATGGGTTCAATCCCCATTGGCCTCATGCACTTTCCTGGGCATACTGGTGCCCGCCACCTAGAGATAGACCACTGGATACCCTGGCTGGCATGGAGGAGAGTCTGCTGATGTTCGTAGGGGAGGGGACCTGAGGGGATGCACAGGGATTGGTCCTGTTGGCATGGTCCCTGATGCTACCGGCTGTCCGCCCACCTGCAGGTGGGAAGCAGGCCCCTCATGTTCTCTCCTGAACACGGTTCTCGCTGCTACGGGGTTCCCTGCATGCCTACAATTAGGAGTAGTCATCCTAATCCTAAACTCTGACATCCTATATCATCCAAAATGATCCTCAATCATCCCAAATTTTCATCAATTGTCAATCATCTATGTATTCCCATTATAAGGGACGCTGGGCCCGGTTCCCAGAAAAAAAAA